CTATCTTGGCTCTCTCTATGGCTCTCTTGCGACTCTATCTTGGCTCTTTCTATGGCTCTCTCTTGTAGCTCTCTTGTGGCTCTCTTGAGACTCTATCTTGGCTCTCTCTATGGCTCTCTTGCGAATCTATCTTGGCTATCTCTATGGCTCTCTTGCGACTCTATCTTGGCTATCTCTATGGCTCTCTTGCGACTCTATCTTGGCTCTCTCTATGGCTCTCTTGAGACTCTATCTTGGCTTTCTCTATGGCTCTCTCTTGTAGCTCTCTTGTGGCTCTCTTGCGACTCTATCTTGGCTCTCTCTATGGCTCTCTTGCGACTCTATCTTGGCTCTCTCTATGGCTCTCCCTTGTAGCTCTCTCTCTGTGGCTTTCTTGCGACTCTATCCTGGCTCTCTCTATGGCTCTCTCTATGGCTCTCTTTCGACTCTATCTTGGCTCTCTCTGTGGCTCTCTTGCGACTCTATCTTGGCTCTCTCTATGGCTCTCTTGCGACTCTATCTTGGCTCTTTCTATGGCTCTCTCTTGTAGCTCTCTTGTGGCTCTCTTGAGACTCTATCTTGGCTCTCTCTATGGCTCTCTTGCGAATCTATCTTGGCTATCTCTATGGCTCTCTTGCGACTCTATCTTGGCTATCTCTATGGCTCTCCCTTGTAGCTCTCTCTATGGCTTTCTTGCGACTCTATCTTGGCTCTCTCTATGGCTCTCTTTCGACTCTATCTTGGCTCTCTCTATGGCTCTCTTGCGAATCTATCTTGGCTCTCTATGGCTCTCTTTCGACTCTATCTTGTCTCTCTCTATGGCTCTCTCTTGTAGCTCTCTTGTGGCTCTCTTGAGACTCTATCCTGGCTCTCTCTATGGCTCTCTTGTGACTCTATCTTGGCTCTCTCTATGACTCTCTCTTTTAGCTCTCTTGTGGCTCTCTTGGACCTCTATATTGGCTCTCTTTATGGCTCTCTCTCTCTTGTGGCTCTCTTGTGGCTCTCTTGCGACTCTATCTTGGCTCTCTCTATGGCTCTCTCTTGTAGCTCTCTTGTGGCTCTCTTGGGACTCTATCTTTGCTCTCTCTATGGCTCTCTCTTGTGGCTCTCTTGTGGCTCTCTTGTGGCTCTCTTTTGGCTCTCTTGTGGCTCTCTTGTGCCTCTATCTTAGCTCTCTCTGTGGCTCTCTCTGTGGCTCTATCTTGGCTCTCTCTATGGCTCTCTCTTGTAGCTCTCTTGTGGCTCTCTCTGTGGCTCTCTTGTGCCTCTCTCTGAGGCTCTGTTGTGGCTCTCTACCGTGGCTGTGTTGAGCAGAACTGAGTGTGCGAGTCGCGCCAGAGTTGACCTAACTCCGCTAATCCCATCTCTCGGAGCGTGCGGGGATTTACACGGCTGTCTCACTCAGTCGTAGTAATTATTGCACGGCTATTGTCGGAACATAGATAGGTCGTACAAGTGCCAAGATTAGAATTAGTGGTACTTGAGAGTAACATACTACAAAGAAAAGGGGGAGAAATAAGGACGATAGATGTTTAAAAGGAAAGAAGGAGCAAACCACACCAGAGCACCCGTCAACCACCCACTGTTTTGACTCTGCACTGTGGGGTACAGCTCTAAGTTGTGCAGTGATGTCGTTGTGTTTGTGATCTTTGTGGTATAAATCTTTGGTTTGGAGCTGACCTAAGTTGTGTCACTGTGCTATCTTTTGAGCCAGGTAAGATTGTGTTTCTTGTTAATTTCGTGGGATTTGTACTTTGTACCAAGGACTACCATACTGAGTATAGTAGTCTTTGCTTTGTACCTATCTGTGTGGAATATTACGTTTTGTGACATTCGTTTTTGAGAGAGATTTCTTGCTTTTATTATTGTTGTTTTTAAACATTTTTGGGCGTTATATTTGGATATATATTATCTATTATAGGTTTTGCTTTGTTTTGTTATTGTTTGTTATTTGTTTTGCTACCTTTTGTTATTGATTTTGCTATATTGTGCTATATTTTCCTATGTTATAGTTCTATTGTTTATTTTTCTGTATTTCGCTGTTTTTTTGTTTAGTTGTTCTTATATATTGTTTTTACGTTATTTTGCTCTCGTTTGGGTTTTTTGGGGGGCATAAGGTTATACTCCCTGTTGTTGTTATGTCCCCGTAGAATTATGCAAATTTAGAAGGCCAAATTATGCACAAAAAAGCAAAATTATGCAAACATTATGCAAGTTAACGTAACACCATTCGCGACATGTTTTTGCACTTTTTCAACAGGATGTTTCCTGATTCTCATGTTTTATGTACAGAAACATTGAAAACAGAACAAATCAGTATCAGTAATTTGTTGTGTATTTGGAAAAGAAAACAATACACATCAGTAGAAAAAAAAACAAAAAAAACTAACCAAAAATAATAATCTCTGTAACCTTCAGCTGTAGATCTAGATCTAGATCTATAGAGGAAAGAAAAATGTTTAAAAAAAAAAAAAAAAAGGACATCTGCACCTGTGATGCTGGCACGTTACTAAAACCAGGGACACCTGTCAACACTCAAACATGAAACATCAGCAGACATGAGAACAACAACTTTTGATGGATTGAAAAATTGAACATGCTCAAGGAACAAAATCCCAACCCATAACCAAGATCTTCTAACAGGGGAAATAACCAGCTTTTCAGTTCAATGAGACTTGTTACGGTGATTACGTCCCTTGAGTCACATGGCGAGGCGTTCATTCATTCATTGTTTGGTGAGAAAAGGGAAATAACGTGAAAAAACGCAGATAATCCAAAATTACGCAAATGTTGCAGAATTACGCGAAAAAACACTCCGCACAATCGCACAACCCTACGGGGGTATACTCTCTGTTGTTATTGTCATTGTCCTTGGTATACTTTGCTCCTTGTTAATGTTTGGTCTTATTTTGTTACCTTTTGTGAATGTTATTGTTTTATTTTGGTATCTTTTGTTATTGTTATTGTTTTATTTTGGTATCTTTTGTTATTGTTATTGTTTTTGCTGCACTTTTTGTTGTTTTGTTATTATCTTTATTTCAACTTTATTTTCTAGATCGATGTTCTTTATTGTTTTGTTGTCCTATTATTTTTTAAAAATTTATTGTTTATGTTTTTGTTTTATTTTGATGCCGTTTGTTATTGTTATTGTTAAATGTGCCTATCGTTTATTATTGTTATTGTTACCATATTATGGTATCGAGAGGAGAAGCAAAGGTCTTTGTCCAGTTTGTTGTGTCGTCTGTTGTATGCTTGGATTGTTTTTGTCCAATGTTTCTCTGACCCCTTCTCTCCATCTTTTCTTATGAGCCTGCCTCTTCCTCTGTTTCCAGTATGATCTTGCTGCAATTCTTCACTATCTATCTATCTATCTATCTATCTATCTATCTATCTATCTATCTATCTATCTATCTATCTATCTATCTATCTATCTATCTATCTATCTATCTAC